CGATTGATAAAGGTTCGGTTGTACTCGGACAGGAGCCTGATGACTACATAAATGAACAAAAGTTTCAAAAACACCAAGCCTTTCAGGGTAACTTAACCAGTGTCAACATGTGGGACAAAGTCCTTACGTCACAAGACGTCCATACACTTGCTACAACGTGTCCAACAATAGAGGGAAATGTTATCAAGTGGTCGGCATTAAAGAGTTTACCTTTCTATGGATCTTTAGAGCTGATTTGCTCTCCGTTTTGTTCGCCATAAAAACAATTTCACCTTTGACTTAAATGTTCTGGTAAAGTCTGCAATGCGCAGACGATAGGAAAGTGTAACGCAAGCCACTTTGATCAGCATTTCCTCACCGTTGAACAGCAGGAATTTGTGCGCATACAGTGATCCTGAAAGCAACTCGCGTGACATTGCCCCTACGCACATTCCTATCGTGCTCGGCGGGCTTTATTGTTCGAAACACTTTGCGTTTTTGATGCACTGAAATCTMAAAGACTCCTCATAAACGCACATATCGAAAGATAAAAAAAATCACATGTAAAAGGCCGTGTCACACTGGCGTTTTTTTTTACAACTTGTGTCGCGCAAAAAAATGTTGTAAGTTGCACGTGCGTTTTTTACGTGTGACACCCCCTCGTGCAACTTGAACATTTCATTTTTTGTTGAGAGAAAAGTAGAACTGGCTTCTACTTTTTTCAACATTCTTCGGAAAAAAGCGTGTGTGACATGGTTTCTTGCAACTTTCAAAATTTTCAATTAGGCGCACGAACCCATAAGAAAGCGAGAATCTGTCCTGCTGTCACTTGTTGTAATAATCAACAAAGATMCCCYACGKCATKTTTGGCGAAAGCGATAATTTTGAAGAAGAAAACGAGACAGAAAGTAAGGTGATCGTACATTTTCAATTTACGCGTGCAACTTGAACATTTTTTTGCGTGAGCTAAGTTGCAACGAAATTTTCTAGTGTGACATGGCATCGTGCAACTTACAACATTTTTTTGCGCAACACAAGTTGCACGAAAAAAACGCCAGTGTGACACGGCCTTAAAACACATGCTATTTAATAAACTCGGTCGGTATTTCATATAACTTCATTATCATACCTCTAGTGTCCATCGCACTTTGAAGCAGTTACTAAGACTAATACTATTCAGTAATTGCTGGTGTCTAATCGTTAGTCATTATCTTGCAAACACGCCCTTATGGCTGCTCCTGAAAATTACGCAGCCCTACTTTATAAAATATTCAAACTGGTAAAAGTGTAAATTACTAAACTATAATCAATGAAAAGGGTAATAGAAAAGTTATGTTTTGAAGT